GTTTCCTGTGCTACCCCTTCGGTTCCTCCCCTGGCTGCTTGTCCCGTGGCTGCTCTGCCCCTTCGGTTCCTCCCCTTGCTGCTTGTCCCGTGGTTGTTTTTCCCAGTTTTCTGAGTGGCATTTTCGGGTGATGTTTGGCTCCCTTTGGCTGCTATTTCGGTTCCCCCTTGGCTACCTTTTTGGGTTTTTTATGTGGCTGTTTGGGTGTTGTTTTGGACTGATTTTTAGCTTTCCATATTTTCTTGTTTTATGGGTTTAATTGAAGGGTATTTTGGGATGTTTGGCTGCCCCTTTTCCCCTATAAATATAAAGTGTTTTGTAATAAAAAAAGTGTGTTATGATGCAATTTTTGGAGCAAAAAACCTAACGGTTTTTCTTCTTTCTTGAAAAAGCTTGAGAGCTTGTTCCACTTTTCTTCGTCTTCCTCTAGGAAAGCTTGCGAGCTTGTCCTCTCCTTCGTCTCGACTTCTTATCTCTTTCTTCTCTCCACATGTGACCACCCCACCTATATCTTTCTTCTCGACAAATGACAAACATCTTTAGGTGTCGTTTCTATTTCATAAATTTGTAATGTAATATTATGTTGTATGTGTCTTTCTATTATAAAAGTGAAGTTGTTTTTTGTTGCATTTTATGGCATTTTGGAAGGTGTTCTAGTTTATGTGTATTTTCTTATGTATTTAGAAGTGTTTATTTTGCTTGCAAAAATTTGGAGCTTTTCCAATTTTTTTGCTTGCATCAGGTTTTATAAAAATATTTGTCAGTTGATTTTCAGTAGCTATATGATACAGTTCTATGTCTCCCTTGGCTACATGATCTCTAATAAAATAATATCTAATGTCTATATACTTTGTGTGAAAATGTTGAATTGAGTTTTTGAAAATGGAGATGCACTAGTGTTCTCACACATGAATTGTATGGAGCCTACATAAAGTCCAAGATCAAGGATTTATTACTTTAGCCATAAGACTTGAGCAACACAACTTCCTACAACTATGTATTCTGCCTCAACGGTGGATAAGGCAAGTGAATTTTATTTCCTACTAGATCAGGAAACTAATGATTGCCCTATAAATTGGCAAGTGCAAGAAGTGCTTTTTCTATCTATTCTACATCCTGCAAAGTCTGAATCTAAATACCCTATTATTTCAAATAAAGAGTGTGTCTAGGATAACATACACCTAAATTTTGGTACTCATAAGGTATCTAAGAATTCTCTTAACTGTAGTCATATGTGATTCTTTGGGATCGGCTTAGAATCTAACACATAGACAAATATTAAATATTATATCTAGTCTGCAAGCAGTCAAATACAAAAGTAATCCTATTATCTCCCCATAATTTTTTTGATCAACTGATTTTCCATCCACATCCTAATCTAATTAAATGGTTGAGCTTATTAGTGTATTTATTACTTTAAGACCTTTCATATCATATTTCTTTAGAATTTCCTTTATATACTTGAGAAAAGTATCATCTTCCATTTGCTTTACACTAAATCTAAGAAAATAAATTAACTCTCCCATCATACACATTTCAAACTCTCTACTTATAGTTTCAGAAAATTCATTGCAAATGTTTTTATTTGTAGATATAAAAAATATATCATCGACATATATTTGAACAATGAGTAAATCATCTCCAACTTAAGAAATAGGGTGGTATCTACACTACCCTGAACAAATGACCTATCTAGGAGAAATGCACTAAGCCTTGCATATCATGCTCTAGGTGCTTGCTTCAACCCATATAAAGCCTTCTTTAGTTTATATACATGGTTGAGAAAAGAGGAGTTTTTGCGATTGCTCTACATATATATCTTCCTTAATAACCCCATTTAGAAAGATACTTTCAACATTCATCTAATATAACTTGAAGCCTCTCAAGCATGAAAAAGCTAATAGAACTATAATGATTTCTAGTCTAACTACAGGGACAAATATATCCTCAAAATCAATGCATTCAATTTAATTGCACCCCTTAGCCTTATTCTTAATTATTGCTCTAGAATCAATCTTATTCTTGAATATCTACTTGGCACCTACTACACTCTGGTCCTTAGGCTTACTAATCAACTCTCACACATCATCCCTAACAAATTGGTTTTAACTCTTCTTGTATAACTAGGATCTAAAATTCATCAGATAAGGCCTGATTTATATTTGTGGGTTCTATCATAGAGATAAAAGCAGAATGACTAACCTCCTTAAGTTTATGCTTGGTCTTAACTGCTACAAAAGGATCTCTTAAGATGAGCTCCCTAGGATGACTAGATGAGTATTTTCATTCTCTAGGCAATGACTCCTGAGATTCTTCTCTATCTCATAGGTCAATAGACTATTCTCCTTAGATAATCTCTACCTCTCCATCTTCTTCTAACCTAGGCTCATCAAATTTATTAGATTGATCAAAACCATATGGGGGAACTCCTCTACAACTAAGGTCCTCTCATTAAAGATCCTATAAGCTTTAACTACAAAGGAATAACCTAAGAAGATTTTCACAATATTTGAAAATAAAAAAAGAAACAAAAATATTTTTATGTTCATTTTTATAAAATAAAAAATATAAATTTTATTTGGTTCATTGATATTTACTTTCTCTTGTGTTTTTGTTTCACATCATTCATAAAAAGAAAAATATCACCAATTCACCCCCCCCCCCAATCTTGGTGGGCCTAGGATAGTTCAACAAGGTTTAACAGTCTATTTCAACAGTTATTTGAACTTCTATTTATTAAATTAGATAATGTGCAAGCAAATCTCTCGCAACAATAATAAATGTTCAATGACATATGCCTCCAAGAAAAACACTTTTTAGCCTGAATCTACTCCTGGAATTTGACATGCTTAAAAAAAAACTCTTAAAATACTCTGTGTTTCTCCCTCATTTTGACAAAATCCTATAAAGATGAAAAGAGACTGATAATTTTTCATTTTTCAATGAATTGTTCAATAAAAAATCTAACAAGATGGGTGAAGTTGTAGATACTGGATAGTATTTCTAGAGAGCGAGTAGCCAAGTGCAAACTTGATGCTTAAGAGTTGCAGGAAACACCTGAAAAAAAAGTGCAAGAAAAGCTCGAGGGATATGCATGATGGTCTAATAATGACCAATATGTTAATAGGGATCAAAGGATCCATCATATGGATCAATAGTGAGTTGTTTGAATCCCATTGGAATAGGATATATGATCAATAGTGAGTTGTTTGAATCCCATTAGAATAGGAGGCTGAAGAATTTTATTTGTTAAGAGTGATGAGAAGTAAACTTATTAGTTATTATATACCCTCAAAGGGAATTCCTCCTGAATAAGACATCATAGTATATCTCTTATAACGTCATCAATCATTAATAAAATGATGTTGATAATAATCATTCATAACTTGCAAAGGCTTATGGGTTCACCGAACAATATGGGGTGGATGTGTTGAACAAACTGTATTAGAGAATACTTAATGAGCTTGTAGGGAAGGAGGTGCTCCTTGATTGACGTTTTCTTTAAATTGTTGTTGGTTTTATGAAAGGAGAACACCATCATATTGTGATGTGCCATTTATTGTCCAGCTTCCTCGAAAAATTGTAAGATTTGACTTTGAAGTTCCTTCATCCTACGTGTATGATTCTCTAAAATGAGGCTTGGGGGGGCGTTACCACCAATATGTTATTGTTTTTGATGAAGAGATTGATTATCAACCATCAAAGAAGTTTGTTGTGAATGTTCTCACAAATGACATTAAACTGTTACATGCTAGAAAATTTGATTCGATAGAGTGTGTTTTACATCCCATTATTGTAGAAAAATTCAGCATGCACATATAAAAGTATTAAATCATAAATTTTTAACATGAAAAACCTATAATGATAAAATACCACGAGGTTTGACCCAGATGAAAAATCCACTATATATTAGAGGATACAAGAATCATTCCTTCCTCACAGTTGAACAAGAAGAGGGCTATATAAGAATAAGATGTTTGATTTCTCTTATAGGGTTTAACATAAATCAAGTGACTATAGATGAACAATTAACTCCCAACAGCAGAGCTTGGTTTCTCTAATAGGGATTATAGAAAATAAGCGTCCACAGGCGGACAACTATACCCAACAACAAGATTAAATCTTATCAGAATTCTAGAGATGGTGACGAAAACTGATGGTATGGTGATCGTCAGCGGCAATAGTGGTTGTTGGCGATAATAGCTGGTGGTGGTCATCAGGGGTGATGGCTGAAAAATGCAAGAGAACTCTCTCTAGTTCTTTCTCTTTCTTCCTTACCTCATGTTGATAATAGAGATTTTTGGGATGGACAGTTTAGTAATTTGAACCAGAATTCAAAACACTTAATTGTATAGTTTATTTCAATTTCCTCAATCATGAAGAAATTTTTCAGCATTTAAGTGCCTTAATGATGTCGTAATTGAGTGATATTGAACACATTGGATTTTTCTCATTGAGCTACTCAATTCGACTATAAGCATATCAAATTTAGAATTTAGATGATCACTATTTTAATTTCAAAAATTTCCAATTCAAAGATTGCCTTGAGATTCAAGCAGATCATATGATTTTTTTGGAGTCATATAAATTATAAAAATCCCAAAGGTGCTCATTTAACCTTTTTATAAATATAATCATCTGATTTTTATTTCACAAATATCATTATCCTACAACAATTCATTTCTTTTCGCAATAGTAGGAATAATATTTTATTAATAATCTGAAGGTACGCATACACATAGTAAAATTTTATTTAGAAAAAAGAGAAGAAGCAAAATTCAAATCACTTTTCCAAAGTGACTACAAAAAAAATTAAGCAAGTTTACTCGGAAAATGCTCTGCGCAGCAAGATATTTTATTTATTAGAATTTGAAAAACATTTATGTATATTGAAGTAAGAAAATATTTAATTCTTTCTTTACTGAACTGTTCATAAATAATGATTATAATTTTGCAAGTGCGCATAACAGGAAGGTTTTGGGCATAATTTCATGTTTTACCTGAAGGCGATTGAGAACATATGTATATTTGCCCCATAGTTCAGGTCGGCTTTCCACGACTAATAGTTCTAGGATACGCTGAATGCACCAAACACCAAAACATACAATAAGTGCTGCTCGCCAAACACAACCATCTCCACAATTTGGTGGTGTCAAACGGAAAGGAATATCAGATTCTTCGCTTCTCTTGACTGAATTTAACTTCCAATCAGATGGCAAGTATTGAAATTCATCCGCATAGGGCTGAATCATCTCACTTGAATCAATATGGAGGCATTTCTCTGCCACAGCAACTTGATCAATCAGCTCCTCATCAGCCCCACCACCCTGTCTAAACAACCAATCTGATCCATCCAGTTTCAGTAGCTTCATAATGCAAAATCTCAGAGAATAAAGCAATTTGGCTTCTGAATCTGCATAAGGGAAGGCCTCTTCAGCGGGGGAACTTGAGGTTCCTGCTGCCCCTACATTTCCACCACTACGATCTCCACCCATCATGCCAAACAGTTCCTCGAATGGTTGTCTAGAGAAAAGAGATTTGGTTTCTGGGTTCAAACTTGGCTGTAATGGAAAAATCTCTTTGTGCATCTTGGGAGAGAGCTCATTAAAGGCCAGTGGAACACCAGCTCTTGCTAAAGGGTTCAAATACTGTGATTTTTCTGAAGCCATCCTACCAAAAGATGTCTGTGGACCAATAGGAGTGCTCTGCTTACCCTCATTCAAATAGGAACTCTTAGCTGTTGCAATGATTGCAGAAATGTCAGGGGAACTATGATATTTTTTAGTGTATGCAGGGGAAATAGCATGCTCACTTGGCCCCATCAAATGGGATTCAAAATAGGGCCTTTCAGCTTGCAACGTGCTTATTCTTGACAAAGCTGGGTTTTGAAGGCTAGAGGTTCCCGTAGAAGCAAACCTATTTTGTCCATGGCTATGCATAATCTGATCCCTTAATGGTGACACATAAGATGGAGAAAACTTGGTTGTTGGTGGGAGGTTTTGTGTGCTTATGGAATAAGGGGGTCTGCCTGTATTGATGCCTTCGAGAAAGGAGGCTATCTGATAGCCATGAATTGTTGCTGGTTGATAGTCCCTATCATCTGAACAGTGTGGAAGATGTAAACTAGAATAGGTTCTTTCAGCAAGATCAAACACATTGCTGCGAGAACTTTGGACAACTGCATCCGCACGTTGCATGCTAGACCAAGATAAATTTCCCCTTCGAACACAAAAAGGTAAATCTGCACCTTGAACATTCATTTGGTTTGGGGAACTATACTCTCCCGAGCTTGGCAAGAAAGTTTGCCCCTTTTCAGCATCCGTAGACAAAAACTTGGAGGTTTCAGCAGCTGTGGTATCTGCCTTACCAAAAGAATTGACTGCTTTGAAATCTAATCCCAAAAGAACGTTCAACCTCTTGGAGCTAGCATCTTGGGTGAGTTTCCCATGGAAATCAAAAAGGTTGCCCCAAAACTCATCCAAAATGGTTGCGAATTGGCGCCGACCTGCACGCCCAAGTCCAGACAATTTTGAAAGACTTCCACTTCCATTTCCCCCATCTTTACCGGTCCCCTTAGCAATATTAACAGGTTTAGGGCTTTCAGAGATTAATGGGGGAAATGAAGCTTTGGTAAGCTCCTCAAGCTCCAGAGCATCCTCTGCCTCATTATCCTTTACTGTGTGTAAGCCTATTTCTGATCTCAAATTCATAGCAACAGGTTCCGCAAATGTAGTTTGCTGGTGGAAGCTCTCTTCACCATGCAATGGTTCAATAGAATCTTTGTATCGAACATCTGAAAGCCTTTCTTCTGTCATATATGCTGAACCTTCTGAATGATAAGTTGGAGAGGTAACATCAACATTAATGTTAGAGCCATAAGTTGATTGCTGGGAATCATGATCAGAGTCAATAGTTGCCTGGGACACATCAGGGTTGTACTCTATTGTTGACTTATCAGATTGACTCTCCACATACTTCTCAAAAGTGGCTTCTGCCATAGATTCCATTTCTTCATTATATTCTTTCTCTTCCAAATTAGATTCTTCTATACGTTCAAAAAACTCGGGCAGATCATTCTGAGAAACTCTGGTAGATATCTGTGCATCTGGTATGGAGCTTGCAGACTTTAACGGTGTTACTGCCAGGTAAATTGTGAAACAAATCGATGTAAAACCAAGAATAAGAAGGGTAAACAGGATAATGGTACCAGTTACATTGCTTTCCCACAAGTTAATTGCCCAGCTGCTATTTCCAAATAGGATTTCAACAATGAAGATAAAGTTTACTGTTATCATCCCAAAAAATGCGAGGAGAGCCAAAATTTCAGTATACCAGGATATTTTGAAAGTACCCATTATAACTCTAGATGACGCTACACGGAAAAGAGGAATTGTAGCAGATGGAACAAGCATGCCAAGTATTATTTGAGACACAATAAGTGACTGGTATATCCCTTCAGCGCCTCCAATTTTTGTGCAGAACAGAGCCAAAATAGCAGTGAAAGCTTTGGAAAATATCGGAAGGACCAAACCAGAAATCTTGGTAGAAAAAAAATGCTGCAAAATCACTTGACTTCCAATATTCCTGTTCAAGGCTGTGATTTGACAAGAGACGAGAAGGACCAAAAGAAATGCAACTGGTGCTATAGGATTTTTGAATATCTGCAGGTAGATTCGAGAATGTAACTAATGAGTTGGCAGCAAGGAATATCATAAATATTTGTCACAGAAACAGCATCGTGAATATAGTGCTTAACTTGAGAACAAATAATCGGGATGATAATAGTTGCAAAGCATGAGTACTAATTCAAGTAGTAAGAATATAAGGTCAATCCCTTTCCTTGCGTTAGACAAGTAGAAATATACCAAAAATTGACCATCACTTCATCTGCTGCCCAGTCAAGGTCAAAAAATTAAACTATCAACAGTACCATTTGTAAGCATCAATCCTTTCTATGTACTGTCGAAACTACCATAGACTCACAAATAGATATGAACCTTTCAAGAATACTTATTGCAGTAAATTATTATTAGTCCTGCATGAACGTTCAGCCTTCAGAGAAAAATTGATTGGAAGAGTTCGCAAGATCTTTGTTATTCTATTTAAGGAGGCTTGGGTTTAAACGAATGATCTAATCTAGGTTTTTTATTTGAAGTCAGGGTTGTTCTTGCAAGCAAAACAAAGCGTATGCAAATTAAAAAACTCCACTAATCGGAAAAGATTGTAAATTTAGGATGATTGCCGAATGAAAATTTATTCTTTTGGCATGTTTGGTTCAGAAACTCAAAACTTAAAGCTAAATGCCCTTCATGCACTCCTCTTGTACTAAAAATAGATTTTTTTTTATTATATTGGCTGGAATACTTCATGGTTATATGCTCTTCTACCAATCATTTTGACTTTAAACAACCTTCACATTCCAAAGAGTTTGCCATAAGTATTTGTAGACCTTTCGATGATAAATTCTCTTTTAAATTGTCCTGGGGAAATTGTGGACAAAGAGTTATTGGGGGCCACTCTTTTTCCTTTGCAGCAGTGTGTTCCTACCTATATTATTCTTCTGTAGGAGAGTTTTTCTTCATTTTATATCCGCAGATGCAAGATTGAAAATAAAAGCCTCTTCGATGTTTCTTAGCACTTTTCTTACACCACTAAAGAATATTTCTCTCATTTATTCATTTGAACCTCTACTATTTCAAAGCTATTAGCTAAATTTTTTTCAATATTCACCTTCCAAGTACCGATTCAATTAATATACTCTTCGGTACTTGGTAATCTTCTAGTTATCTTATAAGCAAATTTCAACCGAGTCTTTAACCTTTGGTTCACAAAATTGCAGTGTTCTGATGCTAAGCATAGAAAAATCCGGTTTAAATGATGTGATGCATGAGTTGAGTTACACAAGATTAAAAGGAAGATTTAAACACTTGCTCAACCAATTATATAATCATGTTTCAAATTAAATTTGGCTACAGGAATTCGTAGTGTTTAACTTGTTTAGGCCAAAGAATTAAAACGAGATAACCAAACAATTAAAAAAAAAAAAGGAAAACATAACGTTAAAAACTAGTGAATGGAATCCGACAACTAATACGGAGTTCTTCACCTTGATGCCTCTTCTCTCTTTCCTACGAAACTAGGTTGAGCGGCGGAAGATCGTCCAAACTAGTAGTGAGGTTGCCACGAGGAGGGAGGAGCCAAGGACCGTCGTTGTTGAGAAGGAGCTCGGAGGTGGCGGTGGCACGGGAGGACGACCTTTAATGATCCACGTGTAGGTTATCATCCATTCCCCCACCATCCGCTTTAAGTGCAAGATGGTGACAATTTCTATTTTAAATATAAAACCTTCAATTTTCCAATATTCAAACCTATGCTGCTACTATATGCCAGATAATACGTATTTCTACGTATCTGATTGATAACTAGCCTTAATCGAAAGTTCTCTCTCGTTATCGGGAGGGGTAATTAACTATAGGGGCTTGCGCCTATAGGAAACCAGAACTCAGATCATAAAGTTCTCGCAAAATGAAGGCAAAATCTCTGGGTAGTGCCTCATCTACAAACCCATCTGCCTTCCAAAATTTACCTCGGAACTTAGTTCGTTAAAACTCCC